GCTGATTTCTACTGACTTCATTTTTGTTTTGTTTTTTTTTTGTTTGTTTTTCCAACTGCTTATAACTCTTGTATTGTTTTACAACTCTTACATAATCCTACATTTTCCTTCATTTCAATGTTCATCCTGATTACAACTCACTGATTAGATTATTCCTCTTATTGAGTAACTGTAATACACTTACTTATTCAACTCGTCTTATGCATTGATTAACATTGGCAACGATGTTTGTGACAACTCATCACTTTTGTTACTACTGTCGTTTTGCTGTTAATGAGATTGTATGTAAATGCGATTGTACAGCTATAAAGATGAGAAGGAATTCGCTGAATTACGTCATTTTTTGTTTCCACTTAATAATCTGATATTTTCGATACCATGCATTGATTGAAACAAAAAGGTGTTGAGTAGATTGATCCATGTTTGAATTTCTAGTCGATAGACTGCCAAAACTTGCTTAGTTTACTGCCTATTAGTAAGCCCGGAAGAGGGGGAAGGTTGTGTGTTAGACTACCAAACCCAAGGAGCCAGTCTTCGACGTTTGACTGATGACTGAAGTCGCAATGGAAGTCCTGCCACGATTCAGACTTCCACTTCAATCACCAACCATAATATCAATAGCAGTCTAACAATCTATAAATCTCCAGGATGGTTTCAACACCAGTTAATTACTTAATTGTTTGTGTGTATGTGTGACATCAATGCTAAGTAAAACAATATTCCACTGTATCTAGAATGACAACGAACAATCTAACAGTCTCAAAAAAAAACAGCTATATAATGATTAATGCTTATTATGAACAAATTGCCTAACGTTAAGAAGAAATGAACGCTGAAATTGCTGACTAAGTGAAATAAAAGTTATTCTCCATTCAGTCTAATTTTTCATTCACTAATGAAAGGGCGCGCGCATCAAATTTCAATTCGTGACTTTTATTTTGATAACTAGAAATGTAGTTTGCTACTTATGGTGTCGGTGGCACAGAGGTTAAATGCTCGCCAACCACACAGATGGTTCGGGGTTCGATCCCCGGACGACGCACTCCTTTACCTCGCTAAGCCAGTAATAAGACTGGTAAAGAGGGAAGGCAGGGCATGAGGCTAGCAACGTAGCTAGCCCCTACCTTGAAGCCCTATGTTCCACTGGGAACGCACAGGAATAAAATAAAAATAATAAAAATTATGGCGTAAGGTATGAGTTCCTGTATGTCTACGATTCAGAAAAACAGAAAAAATTCTCAAACGTATGGTCTCCGCTTGTTTCTTTACTGGGTGTCAACACAGGTTCGAATCTAAAAGTGTAAAGGACGTGAGTTCCTTCAAGGCAATTACAGATGCACCTTATTGACTGATTGGTGATCGTTGACAAGAACAAAACATAGGTCAGTCAGGGCCTTCTGCCTATTGTATGTCGTTGGTTCAACGGTAGAATGTTCATGATGGCCACGTGATCCGGGATTCGGTCCTCGGCTGACACGCCCTCCTAAATACCTCGCTAAGCTTAAAGTAAGACCGCTAAGGAAAACAGGTTGGAGTGCGTGAGGCTAGTGATCTCACACCACTGCTACTAAAACTTCAAAGCTCAAACTTGTAGCCTCATCTACCACCGGTAGTGCAAAAAATATAAAATTAAATAATGCAAAAGATTTCCATTGTTCAAAACGAAGATTTTATTGGTGATGTTATAAATAAGATTTCACCTAGTCGTAATTCATTTATATTGCAAGTCATGAGAGTAAACCACTTTATCATTGTTCCGAGTGTAGAATGCAGCCTCAATAACATATTTGGATTGTACTCAGTCCTATTTCTTCATCTTTAACTGACTCCACAATCGCCTGTGAGTGCTTTCATTTCCTCCTCGCACAATCCTGTATCCTAGCTTAACTAAGGCAGTCCTAAGTCCGAAGAAGAGGACAGATTAGATGTGAAGCTGCCAATCTCATATATTATTATCATCACGTTACTGAATACTGTTTCGAATACAATTTATTGCCCGTCATCATAATAAATGTGATATGATAGTACTGTTTCACTGTGTAATATATTAAATAGGCAAATTTCAAGTCTGTTCACTAACTGACTTCATTTAGAGAACCACTGTAAACCAGGGGTAATGGATACGCCTTTTGACCTTCTTTGGAACTCTTCAGCATTTTTCACCCGGTATTCTCCCCATATCTTGTTGATTTCTAGAAAAATATTTCAACTAACCTACTACATTATGAAGTCAAAACAATCAGTCAGGTGAAAATCCCTCAACTTACACATTTACGATCTGTTAACTCCTGCATCTTATCCATTGTTTTTTATCCCCCCCAATCAGTCTTTCGTGGAATACTTGAAGGGATTATGTCATATTTTGAGCGGTATCAACGGTTTTCAGTAGTATCAGTATTAAGTTACTAAATCACCTCGTCAATACTGTCGACAGACACCTGAACTCATGCGAGAAATCGTGTGGATCTATACTGTGTGATTCTCAACACCCACCCTCTGTTCACAACTCTCCAACACTCACACCAACACCCACACCTTGCATCTCATGTGGTAGGACTAGAAGTCATCACTAAGGATTATATGCTCAGTCACACAACCGAGTCAAAAACTCAATGATACCCCATTTATCCCGCCTATTCGCGTCCTATGCGACAGAGATAATGTTAAGCGTGAAACCTACAACTTAGCATCCTATTAACAAAATCATACTTCTCTATTCTCTCCTTTTTGTAATTTATAGTGACATTATTTTAATTATCTTATAATTTTAGCTATTAACGTTATTATCATCATTATTTTACACTTCTTGTATATTTTTGACTCTATTGTCATTGCAAATACCAAGAAAGCTGCTACTATCAGTCCTGTAATATTATTTTCCTTTTTTTGATTTCTGTTTTTGCTGTTGTCGGGTAAATTAGATGGAATATTGTGCCCAAATGCTGAGAATTCCACACACACTGTATCATAAGTAGTGCTGTCATCATTATTATTACTAAAAGTATGAGTGAGAAGGCAGAAATCGGTTAGAGGTATAAGGTGTGTTGAAATTATCTGAAAATCTGTGTTATTGTGGTCGATTTTTAGCCACACTATTATCATTATTATTGTTAGTATTCAGAGTCACTAATTATGTAATCTTCAGTTAATCGTGTCATGCTTTGATGTAGCCGCCCTCGGTTACCCTGCAATTTAAGCTTAATCCTACAGTAAAGTATGCAAATTTAGCAGACAAACTAAGAATATATGTATATAATAAGAGCGAACTTAACAGATGAATCAGTGAGCACTTTTCTTTGTGGCTAGAAAAATGTCAAGCGAAATCAATAAAAAAGAGGCTAAAATTAATCCCACATATGATTGACAGCAGTCGTAGCCACTACTAATCATATTTTGTGGGATTTCTCTCTCTCCCTAGATAGTGGAATATACTACTGACTAATATAAGTAGCGGGATACCATCCATGTCAACCAGAAGTGATCTAAACAAAATGTCGAAGATCTAGAGGTGAAAACAGACAAACTGATAGAAGAGGTAGGAAGCAAGCGGAGACAGGAATTCAAGTGAACACACAGAAGACACAGATGATGAAGATAACAAACCAACCAGAAACAACAACAAGAAGCGGCGATCACCATCAACAGGAGAAACTTGAAAGTGGTCACGGCATAGATGAGGATATCAAAACCAGCCATGATGGGAACGGCAAGAGAGAAGACATTCAGTAGTGTTAAATCAGTTTGTAAATCTTCTACACTCCGCAGCATAAAGAAAGAAATCCAGATTTTCAACACCAGTGTCAAATCAGTCAGTCAGTGCTTCTATATATGCAACAGAAACTTGGCCTTCGCGAGACGAAAAGTATTTCTAAGAAGCTGGCTGCAGACTTTTATCTACATCTGCCCCCGTCTCTGGCTCCGTAGTGAAGAACAGATTTTCTGTTGGCCGGGTAGAAAGAATTAGTAACAAGGAACTCTAACAGACTACTAACCGATGAAGAACCTATTGCCCACCAAGCATGCCGATAGAAATACAGATGAATTGAACCCACACAGACTGAGTGATATCACACGCCAAGCCATCAGTCAAGTCAAATCCGAATGGGTAGTGACTATTTGGGTTTATGTCCAAGGCTGACATTGAAGGAGATCATATCAGAAGGAGGAGGTGGGAGCTTATGGAGAACCGATGAGCCGGCTGAAGAGGACTGTGGAAAACAGGACATTAGGTCAACCTCATGAACTGTCTACTTGGTCCACCCGAGATCATATCGTTTGTGACCTGAAGATCTTTTCATTGATTTCCATAGAAAAACTGTGATGAATTCTCACCTCGAGTTGTGTAATTCTCAAATGATGAATTTAGATATGAGGAGTAAAGCCTGGGAAAAATCTAAAGAAGAACAATAATACTTCCAATAATAATAACAATGTTTTGGGCGGCCTGTTTAAAATTTGGGCTACTGAAGACCTTATTCAATATATTGCATATAATTTCTCTTATATACTTCGTTTTAATCCAGTAGAATATGACCTGTAAAAGTGTTGTTCACTCTGACGAGTATTTAGAGCATTTACAACGTATAGTTTCACAAGTTTCTACTGAACCTGAGTAAAAGCATTATCCTCGATGGATGGCATGGTTATCCCAGTGCATGAGACAACCGTTCCTCAGTGGTATCCTGAGTTCACAAACTGTGCTGTCAAACCTTTTATAATTGGCATTCAACAACAAAATCTCGTCGTATATTTCTCTAAGGAGAAAAAAAAGAAGAGATATCATAATGGTGGATGGGTTTGCTCTTTAGGTCAGATAGAGAACTGTGTCACACGATCTACTGTCAATCCAATATTTTCTTTGAAGATCCTTGACGTAAAGGAGAAAATACCATACAGTAAACTCCACTGAAAATTCTGTACATTATACAAACATTGTTCATAATAAATCTGTTATTCTCCATAACAGAGACAATCTAAATTTGTTATTAATAGGAACTTACTTTATGCGCATTCCGCCTGAAAAATGCTTTACACGATTCACACGTCAACTGGCCAAAATTATGATTTACTGCCTTATCTCCACAAACTTTACATTTTTTCTCACGAATACTACTATTAGTAGTACTAGTAATAGTGCAAGTAGTATTATTACTAGTATTTGTAATCGTAGTGACAACACAATTATTTCTGATTAAATTGTCTGAGTGTTTGTCAATCTTGTGTTGTTGTTGTTGTTTTTGTTGTTGTTGTTGTTGATTATAGTGATGCTTATCAGGATAAAGTTGATGATGGGTAGAGGGAGGAGGAGCAGGACCAGGAGGATAATTTAACTTATAATCTTGACTAGGGATAGTGTACATTGAAGGGATAATCCCCGGTATCGTTGCCATGGTGACAACTGTTGGTACCTCTGTGGTTGTTGTTGTTTCTTGAGCCCTACTTGTCAACGTTTCTGTTGTTACACATGAAGTTAACGACTCTGATCGTGCTGCTGGTGGTGATGAATACTTTGTTTGAAATGTTGAATAAATTTGCAATGGGTTAACAGACGGGTTATCTGTTTTATGTTGACTGCTAGGATATAGGCTGACTCTGTCTTCTGTGTTATGACCTTGAATTGACTCAGTTAAACAAAAATCCTCATCAATATCAATAGCAGAATTATGGTTATTATGATTATCAATTAAATTATTCAGTGTCAGTTGATTGTCAGATAGTAGTGAAGACGAATTTAGTGAGTTGTTTAAATAATGTTGTCCGTTTTGTTGTTCTGTTAAAGGTTTCATTATATCATAAATGATGGCATCGCTTTGAAAATCACTAATCATTAATGGGTAATCATTATTATTATTATTATTACCATTATCTCTTGTATTTATTACTTCATTGGATGAATAGATTTGCTGGCGCTGTTGTTGTTGTTGTTGCTGTTGTTGTTTGTATTGTTCTTCCTGACTTAACCAGACTGCTGATTGATGATATGTGTCGGCGGTTGGTTGTTCCTGTACACTCGTTTGATAACATGTCGACTGTTGTATAGACACATCAGAGAATATATTGTTTATCAATGGATTTTGTATAAGATAGGTGGTATCATTTAATATCATAGATGATAAGGCTGGTTCATTACTACAATGCATAAATCTGTAAGCATTATCAGCACCATCGACGTCAACAAGACCATCACCATCATGACCGTTTTCATTGTGACCATTAATTGCATTCATACTGTCATTATTATTGTTGTTATTGTTTAGAATAAGAATACCGGTGGAAATATCATCGGTCAGGTGTCTTTTCTCACTTAAATTATGATGGTAATAATCCAAGTGGTATTGTGTTTGTGTAAGCTGTTGCTGTTGTTGTGGAGTTGATGGTTCGTGTTCCTGAAGACAGTTGTTAATGAAATTGTTCTGTTGAACATTGTCAATTGTATAAAATAAGTGATGATTATTACTATTATTATTATTACTGTAAGGCAATTGATTTGAAATCACTGTTGAGTCATTGAAGTGACCAGATAACTAAAGGAAAGGAAGGAAGGAAAGAAGGATGAATAGAAACAGAAAAGAGAAAAATATCAAAGAACATTCAAGTAGATGACAATGGTGTCCATTGGTGGTGTCACAGGAATTGGGGAAAAACAGGAACTGGCAAAAGAAACTGTGCAACAACTAATCTATGAAGGATGAAGACAAACAGGGTGATGGATCACTACTCACTACTCTACTTACTTTAGTAATAATCCGCTTTATTCCAAAACAAACAGTACTTAAAATACGGCATGGAATTTTCATCATTTGTCACAATATTGCTACTAATTTACTCAAAATATAAATAAAAGTAACCAAAAGAATTTGTCCACCTTTACGGTATAAATAAAGTCACAAGTATGCAAAATACAAAATGGGAATAGTAACTATAATAATAATAATAATAAAAACATTGGGTTTGTCTCAAACAGTACTATCGATACTGTATGGAAATCTTACCAGTGTTTTATAGAATATGCAATCTAAAGTTCTCTTCACATAGCACGGTGAGGGGGGAAACAAAAAAACTAATAACACTTATTATAGAGGTGCTTACACTTATGAGAAAATAAACACAAAAAAGGAGGATTATAAATATTATAAAAATAATAATAACAGTAAATCTTGATGTTATAAGGATGGAGAAAATTGTTTATTTACTAGTGGAAAGAAGGTTAGTTAGTTAGTTCGTGCCTGACACTATTTTCATCACATAAAATATGTGTCAAATATGGTATCGTGGAATTTCTATACTTAGACGTGCTCGCGTGTAAAGTCTGTGAGTCCTTGTTCTATCTCAGGCCATGTGGTGTGAAAGCTGCAGGTAAAGCGGTTGCTCACAGTCTGAAAAAATCCTTTTGGCAAATTTATTGCATGAAATTAAGTGGCTATCAATAATGCCGATGTCAATGATATGGCCCTACTGATAATCTTTGGAGTCCTGCGAAGTATGACAAAGTCTTTTTCAGGCGATAGTGCCGTTCTTTCCAACCCCACCTATTCTGTTTACCTTCTTCTCATATGGTTTACCTGATTAGTTCTGATGAAGTCAATTTTTTTAAATATGCCGATGACCATTGGATTGTCTTGCATGTCGGCGGCTGTTTCTCAATAATTTGTTGCTACAAAATGAGAAAGTATTTTATCAGAAATTAGTCAATGATCCTTTGTCATCAAATAGCCTTAAACTGAATTCCTTCAAATGTCAAATTGTTGTGCTCAGTTTCAGACGTGTATGAATTTGTTGCTTCTCATGATTCTCCCATCATAAATGGCACTGAAATTGAGACTAAGTTGAATGTTGTTAAATACCTTGAATTGTGTATTTCATCTAATCTTTCCTAGTCTTCCCATATCACTATTTTAGTTTCTATAAAGATATTTCGATTGATGTTCTATGTGGGGAAATTAAGATAATTGGGTATCACTCAGTCAGTCACTACTGTTACAGTTCATTAATTCTTGTATGCTACTCATGATACTACTGATTTGCTGCGAGACAGTAAGTAAACAGCCTTTTTCTGCTCTTTCATTCGTTATTATGTTGTCGCTGTTGTTAATATTTTCACTAAAAATTTTAATATCACATTCATATTCCATTATTAAACAATATTTCATGATGGCAAGCCACCTAGATTGGTGGCCACATTGCATACCTGACTGATAGAATTCAGTTTGCACCACACTAGTTATTAGTATCCAATCAAAGTATCCACTACAGTTCTACAGCAGGTCAATCGCGAACCCGAATAGCTCAGTGGTAACCTCTCTGACTGCAGCAATCACTGGGTGACTTGGGTTGGAATCTCAGAAGTGACATGAGTTCCTTCAAGGTTGCAGATACGTCTTGCTGATTGGTGAGTGGCAACTAGCACGAAACCTAGGTTAGGTATGGCTGCCTGCCAATTGCCTCCAACCATCTAATATCATCAAACAAATGTGCACCGTGATAGTGAGCCACCTAGAATGGTGGCCACATTGCAAACCTGACTGATAGAATTCAGTCTGCACCAAAGAAAGGACTAGACACATCACTCTAGTTACTAGTGTTCAATCAAAGTAAACAATATTTCTAATGTAAATGTCCTGTTTAATTACTTCCCTCAATATTATGCAATAAGGAAACTCAACATGTTGAAAAGGAACATGTTAAAAGGAACACCAAAGGGATCACCCATATCAAGAACAGTCACTGAAGCCGTTATACGAAGATTAAAAATTAACAGCCCTATCCATAATTAAATCAAAAATCAGTGTAAGTTATGTTGATGACACATTTGGCATAATCAAAAGAAAAAATGTGGAATACACCTACAAACTAATCGACAACATATTTGAAGACATTAAATTCACCATGAGAGAAGAAGAATCAGACAACGAAATTCCTTCCTTAGAGATAACTTAATCAAGAAAACTAACACAGAAGATATAGAAATACAAGCATACAGAAAATCAGTACACACCCACACACAGAACAAATACGCAGCTATATAATAGCGATGACCCAATGACTTTTACAAAAGAAACTGTGTGCGAACACTTTTTTTTAAAAAGAGTGCAAGCATACACTGTAGCTCTCCAATCCTGAAGAGAACAGAAGAGAAATACTTGCTAACAGTCTTATTTAAGAAGAATGAATACTCATAGAATTTCATCAAAAAAGTGTTTAAACTCAAATCGTAGTGCCAACATAAAAAACCATCCCGAAGTATCACCAGAAAACATTCTACAATATATATATATATATATGATATAACGGCTAGAATACTGAGACTGTTTGAAACAGATGTAGCACACAAGCTGGTCAACACAATCACTTCACTCAGTATTCTCCAGACCAAAGGATCCAGCATTAAAAGAAGATAAGATCAATAACATTTACAAAATAGTTTTCCCGAACTATGATAAGCACTACATTGGTCACAGTGAGAGTCATCTCGCACTCAGAATCCAAGAGCATAAATTAGCTGTGAAAAGATACGATATGTATTCTTCCACACTGATGCATGTAGATAATTATAGACAATAATTTGATGAGGAAAATGTAGAAATTTTAAACAATCGAAGCCTGGTACTCAGAGATGAATCAGCCAGCTATTAACAGACACATTAGTAAAAGAAAATTCTAACAACTAATAAAGAATAAACCACATGACAAGAGATTCACTTTCATTTCATCAGTAGCGAGGCAAAATAACAGCCAATCATTACAAAGGAGACCGTCAGGAGATAAAATTGTTAACACCCAAATAAATCCCCTTCATTTTTAAAGCTTGCGCTGGACATGCTATCTAGGAAGACGACGAAAGGTTCGCAATTGAATCAGTCAACTTAGAGATCGAAACCAATTAGAAACAAGCTTTCCTCGTTAACAGGGCAGATAAAAACTGTCTAAGTGATCTTTGATCGCAGGGAAACTATAACCTGATTATCAGTTCAGTCTCCTGGCCGCGCTAGTAAAGTGCCACTAGACTAGTGATTCAGTGGCTACTGTTTCGAATTCGGTGACAACTCTCTACGAGATTTTCATTTTACCACATTCACCCAATTACACTAACTACTAACTCAAGGCTATCTACTCATTCAACAACAACAAAATGGTTAGAAAAAAGGATCCAGACTAAAACAACTATCAAATGTTTACAAATGAAACGAAAAATGAATGTAAGGTTACAATCTAAATTCAAATAAATTTCTAGTAGTAAGTATTACTTAATGGTGGAATTAAAAATCTTTAGTCGAGACAACATTCAAACGAACGACCCACAAAATTTCTAGTCCTTTGCTATACCGACAAACATTCTTGTCAAGAGTTAGTCTGTAAGAAGTTTACTTGTTTCACGCTTGGTCACATGAAATGATGGTTATCGTTAGATAATCATTAAAAATCAAAGAGAACTGAACAGACTTTTTGTTGTAATTTTGATGGGTAAGTACCAGAACGAATCAGCTAGCAAGCTACCTAGTACTTCAGTGCTGATTTTCAATAGTTCTCCGACAGACGTCACAATCTGTGGTTAAGCTTGAAACAAATCAAACCCCTACAAACTAACACTGTTAATAATTAATATGATGTACTCTAGTAGCTGGCCGCAGCACGAAGTTGCCTGGAGTTCCAGTGAGAAGTCGTGTGACCAGAGGGGTCTACTAGATCTTATGTGAGCATATTTACTTGCCGATAGCACCGGCTGGTGCCAGTCGAGGTAAATATATCACAAAGTGATAGAAGTTAGAATTCATATGCTGACCATTGAGTTGAGTCCCATTGACTGAATAGTTAACGAGCTTGACCTGTAACCCGAAGGTCCTAGGTTCGACCCCTTGCGGTGGGTATTTACTGGTGAAGATGAGATAGTTGTTCATTACTCTAGTACTGGGCTTCAATGGTCCTCTAGCTGATATCAATCCATGTTCAAACTTCAAACCCATTTTTCCCAGTTTGAATGAAAATACTGAACACTTTACATTCAAAAAAACAAGATCATTATTAGATCTTATAGAAAGCCTTTGTCTACGCTCATCTTATTAATATTCTTCACTGTCAGTCACGAATTTTAGAGTTTCGCTGACGCACATTATGACTAAGACACAACTTCCCTTCATTCATAAGTTCAACATTGTTCAACACAGTTGGTCACACTTTTTCTCATTCAGCTTTCGCTAGTTAATGACAAACATCATGGTTCTCTTTGAAACTATTTACAGGATATTAATCGCCACCCCCCCCCCCAAAGTACACTTTGAGTAGGCATAGACTATAAAACACCAAGTCATTAGGCCCAAATGTTTAGCCTGTAAATAATAAGTGGCTGATTTGAAATATGACTTGAAATGTAATAGAATGTTACTGATCTGCGACAAGTGACTGTCATTTATATCCAACTGACAGTATATCACATCTATTGTGTAAAAAATAATGCGCAATTATGTGGCTGCTCAAATCTGAATGGATGGTTGGGGGTATGGTTTGAGCCACTGGACCAAGTGGCTTA